GAACTTACGAAGCCTTTCGATCACCAATTGCTTCTCGTCAGAACCAGCAACCATTCCAGTTCATGAATGGAACAAGCTTTCTTCAACCTTAGAAACCCTAGAGTTTCGATCCAACAAAGGACTCACCGGTGAGATTCCTCCTGTTCTCGGCCAGCTAGTGAACCTTCAATCACTAGTACTTACCGAAAACTCTTTAAGTGGAGAGATTCCTCAGGAGCTTGGAAATCTGGTGAGTTTAAAACGATTAATGCTTTCAGGAAATCAGCTGTCGGGGAAAGTTTCGGTTTCTATAGGAGCCAAGATGGCTGAGCTCTTGATCATGGACATGAGCAGGAATTCTCTATCGGGTCCTCTGCACAGATCTTTTGTCGGTCTATCTTCACTGTTGAAACTTGATTTGAGCAACAATCAAGTAAGTTGGGAAAGTTCCGGTTTCTATAGGAGCCAAGATGACTGAGCTCTTGATCATGGACATCAGCAGTAATTCTCTATCGGGTCCTCTGCACGCATCTTTTGTCGGTCTATCTTCGCTGTTGAAACTTGATTTGAGCAACAATCAAGTAAGTGGAAGTCTGCCACCCGATCTTTGGAACCTCAAGAATCTCACAATTCTAGATCTCAGAAACAATAATCTCACCGGCGGTCTGGTTCCATCCCTTCAAGGAATGGCTGCTCTGGAAGATCTGGTTCTCTCAAATAACCCATTGGGCGGAAATCTAAGAGAATTTGGTTGGAGAAATCTGAAAAACCTAACTCACTTGGATCTCTCCAATACAGGACTTGTTGGTGAGATCCCAGATAGTATCACAGAGTTGAAGAAATTAAGATTCCTTGCATTGGACAACAATCAGCTCTCCGGTTCCGTCTCCCCGAAGCTTGCATCCATGCCCTGTCTTACGGCTTTGTATCTTAATAGAAATAATCTCACAGGTGAGCTTGAATTCCCTGGGGATTTCTATAGGAGGATGGGGAAGAGATTTGCCTGTTGGAAAAACCCTAAACTCTGTTACAGATTGGGAGCTGGAAACGCAACAGGGGAAGGTCCAGCTGGTGTGGATAGATGCATGAATGAAGTAGAGAGAGTTGTGTATGGTCTGGATTTAGGGAACATGATGGGCAGGGAGGAAACAGTTGGGGGCTCCTTAGGGTTCTCAGCTTATTATTCCATTGGTAGGTTTCTATGGCTAACTTTGATGGAGGTTGTGGTCATCCTTTTTCTTCTTTCTTTAATGTAATTCATGGAGAATAGAGTTTTTATATAACACACCAAATTGATGTTTTTTAACAATGTCAATCTTGTGTTTGAACCTTATTTTTAGGATTGTTTATTATTTGGGAGATGCTATACATCTAAATGTTCATTTCATATCAAATTACTTTAAATGATGGATAACCTATCTTATTAACAGATTGCTCATGAGAAATTTGAGTCCCATCAAATCAAGTTGGATCTATGCTTGGTTGGAAACTAGTGTGCGCTCCAAAAATTTGTATCCAGACTGTCCTCAAAATGACGATCAAGAGAGTTTTATATTGAGGTTTCATGAAAAAATTATATTAATTTAAGAATAATAATAATGAACTCGAAGTGTACCTTGATTTTGAAATGAAATCATGATCGTGGAGATTGAGAATTATGAGAGGATTGATAGAGCTAAAAGCTTTGATGATGAACACCTCAAAATTTTAAAATCTTAATTTTAAAATTATAAATACCAATATATGATGGTGTGGAGATTTTTTGAGCCTCTCGGCATCTAGTGCTCCATCTCTTTCCTACATTAGCAATCTAAGAGAATTAATCCAAATTTAAACTTATGCATTTTTAAAATTCTATATAGTATTCTTTAAGTTTAAACTTTGACTTTTATACAAATAGTAGCCGTTACTTTAATTTATGGTTTTTTAAGGAGATTACAGGTCTTAGGGGGCGTTAGGTAAGATATTTTTAACATGATTTAAGTTAGATTTAGCTTAAATTTAGCCAATCACCATAAATAAGTCAGATAAATCCGTCGTTAAGTTAAATTTAATTTTCGTTTGTTTCGTTTGTGAAATCCAAATTTACTAAATCCACTTAATAAAACAAAATGACATTGATAAAGAAAGATAAAAATTCTACATAATTAATAACAACATATCATTCTCGTTCAATTTGAGATTCAATATGCTGAATTTTCTCTAGTTTTCTGCAGAAATATGTCGAGCCAGAAGCTTATTTTCTCTTTAAAAAATGTCTTCAACCACACACTAGACAATGACAGGCTGGTAGAATGAGCTGTCATCAACTTCAACCTGGATTTTGAACAAATTGAGATGGAATACAAAGTGTTCTTGTTAAATGTGGTGGGCTAGGAAGAGGTATGCGGTTGAGAACCCATACTCAAATTCAAGAACAGAAGAACTCACGTCCGTAAAGAAAAGGAAGTTGGGGGAAACAATAAAAAATGTCTGGGTGAATGACACTCAAGACGCCAGAGATGGCAAGATAAGGTTTATAATTTTGACAGTAGATGGCGAGCTCCTTAGCGCTCCCCCCGGAGAGCCCTCATAAATCCATACCACAAGTAAGACGCCTCTGACACGTGCATAACTTTGAAATCATAATCGTCACAAGCATAGGATGCTTGACCGGATGGAAAGAAGACAGACAACGGATCAGTTGCGGAGCATTCCCCAGTCGTCCCAGAAAAAGGAAATGTTTGAGCAGTCCGTGGGGGATGCCTTGCCTCAATTTTTGATAGAGCAACTAATGTCAAACTCTGTCGATGGTCACACTCTTCTGGAATACACTTCAGTAGAAGCCTACACAGAATCAGCGGAGTGTGCTACTTCCCCAGTAGTACAAATGAGTGAAGAGCACTGAATGTGGAGTTGTATATTCCACACTTTGTTAAGCTGAGACAACTACGGATCATTTCTGAAAATGAATTAGAGAGCTTTCAAAAAGTTAGAAACAAACCTACGAGCATTTCAAAAGCATGCAAGGGAAGTACGTCAACATCCAAGAAGGATTGGAATTGCACACGGACGTAATTTCTAAACATGAGCAGAGAAAGATAGTGGACTGCGTCTTTGACTTGAGAGGCAGAGGCCGAGTAGCAGTTTGAAGAAAAATGACATATTCAAAGCCCTATAAATGGATGAGAGGCAAATGAAGGATCACCATCCAGTGTGGCTACTACTATCATTTTGCCTGCGATAGTGAAGGAAACCCCCCGGGGATCATAAGACATGTTGAGGTAGACCCGATACCTTCAATAATAAAGAGGATGATCAAGAGAATGATTTATTAGCACATTTTACCAGCAGATTGTGTACCCAACAGTTTTATAATTAACTTCTACAAGAAGGGGGGCTGCATTTCACTCCATATAGACTACCATGATTTCTTAAGACAGTTTTGCATAGTCTCCTTCATTAGGGAATGCAACAACATTTTCAGAAAAGAGTTGCAGATCATTGGCTCGGGAAAATTTTGAGGGTCAATAGAGATCCCTATACCAGTTGGATCAATTTTGACACTGAAAGGAAACGAAGAGGATTTGGCAAAACATTGTATTCCAATGGTGTCATAGAAAAGAGTATCTCTCACTTTTCGAAAGATGGGTGACAATAAGGCATCATATGGATACCGACTAGACCTAAACCTTGAAGGGCTACAACCTTTAAAGATATGATTGTTCGGGGATAACACGCCTCTAAGTGTATTCAAAAGAACTTTCATTCAGGAGAATGACTTAGGAGGTGAGGTTAATCTCCCCATAGTTCAATATAACCAAGCAAACATGAATACATGAACACAAGGATTGTAGGCTATAGATAGAGACTACTTTTATATTTTGATCTTCTATTCACAAATAAAGTGATATTTTTGAGTTGTGTACTACTTTATCAGGGTTCAAAAAAGAGTCAACAAAGGACTATTTTATCCCCTGCAATTCAATGGGAATGAATATGTTTTGAAGTCACATATTTGTGTGATTAATTTGGAGTCATTGGACTGAGCATGTCTTAGTTCTAAAATTTTTCATTGAACAAAAAACATTACAAACAAGAAATGCTAATGACAATGACAAACAACCAAAAGAACAAAAAAATAAAAATAAAAAAAGATGTCAGGAAATAAGACGAACAAAAATGATGAAACAATATTCAAAATTGTCTCACAAATTTCAAATATTCTCACAATTTTTCTACAATTCTTCTACAATCACAGCATTCCAGGGTTGGTGCAATGATTCTGATTCCTTTTACATTTTTTATACAATCACAACATTTCAGGCTCAGTGCAACAATTATGTTTCCTTCTACAAATCTTCTACAAGCACAACATTCCACAGTCGGTGCAAGGATTCTGATTTCTTCTACAAATCTTCTATAATCACAATATTCCAGGGTTGGTGCAAGGATTTTGATTCCTTCTACAAATCTTCTACAATCACAACATTCCAGGGTTGGTGCAAGCTTTCCAATTCCTTCCACAAATTTTCCACTATCTATCCACAAATCTCTGGCACTCATGAAATTTCAGGGCAGTGCAAAGTTTCTGATTCCTTCCACAAGTTTCCACAATCTATCAACAAATTTTTCAGACTCACGACATCCAGAGTCAGTGTCAGGATTGTGATTCCATATAATCACAACATTCCAGAATCAGTGCAAAGATTTTGATTCCCTACAATCACAACATTTCAAAATCGGTACGAGGATTCTGATTCTCTACAATCACATCATTTTCGGGTTGGTGCAAGGTTTCTGATTCCTTCGATCAGCTCTTGAGTTAGATGTGAGTCCCCTGACTTTACTTCTCAATCTGATCCTTACATCTAAAATGTTCATTGCATCAAATCAATTGGCCGCAACTATCAAATCCCCAGAAAGGAGTCTTATATAGTTGTTATAAGACTTCATAAAAATACCTCAAATGAGAAACAAAGAATAAACAAACCCCAAAATACAAGCTCTAGATTACACTTGAGCCTCTCCTTAAACACCTTTCTAAATCCCCAGCGAGAGTTCTAAAATCTCAAAACTTAAATCTTTCTTTTGAGCTAAGGTTTCCCAAGCAAGAAACCCAACTCAAACACAAATCTCAAATTAGGTTTGATCTAGAGTTTGTCTTGGGTATTTTTGCCTAGACATTCCTGTAAATTTTGTTGATCGCTTCAGTCAACACCAATACACGCTGTGTAGTTGCTCAGCAAACCACACTTATTGGGGGTTTATTTTTTGACGTCATTTTTTGTGAGGTCTAAATTCTTCCTCTATAACTTAGGGTCTAGTTATAGGACTTTTCTATTAACTATCCTAGAAAACTAGTGATGGGACCCGCCTTTCTTAGACACTCAAAACACTTCTTGACTCTTTTGTACTGGCATTCCACGTCGCAGATTTAAAAACTCAACTGTCATTGATGCTGCCCTCCCAACCAGCTATAACGAAAGTGAAACACAAGTTGAAATCGCAGATGACCACAACATTTTGGGCGAGGCTACCACAAGAGCCGATGAATGCAACATTATCATTATTTTGGATATGTGCGTCAACATGTGTTCCTTCAATCGCGTCGATGCAATCCCGATTGAGTTAAAGTTAGGTTTGACATAACATTGCAGACTCTAACAAAATTAATTATATTGCTCTAGAGGCATTACCTTGAAGAAGGGCATATATCACACATCTTGTGATATCTCAACGGGTGTTCGCTTGAACTTATGATATGAGCGTTTAATGACATAAGAGGAAAGACTAACAAGTGCGCTCAATCCGATTGAAAAGCACATTCTTGTTATTTCGGAGGAGTGTTAAAATTGCTTCATCGCCCCTCGCATTGCTTCATTTTGGGATAATATGAACGGTATTATTGAGAGCACCTCACGTGTAGTGGTCCTCAAAGATCTATGAAGTCCCTGAGCTCCTATAAGTACTTCCAGAAGATTATAAATACTTCGTGACTCATTTGGAACATACTACTAAATCTTATTGGGTGCCCCACAAGTAACTCTCTAACCATTTGTCGCCAATATATGAAGGTGTCATGCATGGCGACCGATCAATGTACAAATTATAATACTCTATTGACCTTACTTTTAATTGAGGTTTAGCTTTCCCTCTTTAGTAGCATATGGTCTAGCTATAGGACTTTTTTGTTGAATATTCCTAGAAAACTCGAAAGGATCCCTCACCATTAGAAACTCTAAACTCTTCATTGCTCAAATTAAAGTTCCACATATTGGTCATAACCTCTAGTACTTAGAGGTGGGGTCAGTATGATAGGACTGCTTGCTCTTAGGGTTGAATCTAGGTGTTGGTTTAGTGCTAAGACA